TTCACATAGCTCACGCCTACGAAAAAACGTGCAAGATTTCAAGAAATTTTTTATTTGTTGTGTGTGTGTGAATGTGTGCAATACCCAAACCACAGCATTTGAACCCTTTCAGGCTATACCCGGGCAAAAGCCATTGACACTGGGAGCAACACGCGCTTTTGTGCGAAAATATGCAATTGAAATGTTAAATAAATAAAGGCGTAAATACTTGAGGGGCAACAGCAACGACAAGGCAGAACATTCAAATGCTGTTGTGTTGGACGTTATGGATATACACAGAAGTAAATATACTAAAAAAAAAAATACCAAGAAATAGTAACTTAGTTTGGGTGGACGACGCTTCGATACCCTAGAAGGGCAAAACGGATTCAAATCCAATTGAAATAGGTTTACTTTAGTTATATAAAACAGACAACATAAAATTGTATTTAATGAGTAAAACGAATTATTTGGCATACCATGACAGATACATGATATATAAAGACGATAAAGATAGTTTTCACATGTGTTTTTACTGCCGAAAATAGAAGCTTCAGTACCAAATTTCATTAAGAAAGACCAGCAGAGAATCCATTTCCCATAGGCCACGAACTTAGTTCTGATACGATGAGGTTAGCTTCGATAAATTCTCTTAATGCGGAAAAAAGAAGCCTTAGTGCCAAATTTCATCAAGATAACCCTGCGGGGAACCCTGTTAACATGGGTTAAAATGGGAAACGAACTTATTTATGAGACGATTAGGTTGCTTTCGATATATGCTTCCACTCCAGCAAAAAGAAGCATCAGTATCAAATTTCATCAAGATAGCCCTGTCGAGAACCGAGTTCACATAGGCTAAAATGGATACGATAATATCCATTGATACGATTGGGTTGGTTTCGATACATGTTTCTACTCCAGCAAATAGAAGCATTGGCACCACATTTAACCAAGATAGCCTTGCACATCGGATAAAACAAGCTGAAAATTTGCTTACGATCAGCTCAGTTCTACTTTCTGATCAAAAATATATTTGAAGGCTTTACAGACCATTTCTTCTCTAGCGTTACACAATTCTTGGCAAATTTATAATACCCCATTCCAGGAATTATAAAAATAGAAAAGCGAACCGTTATGCATTCCATAACTTTGGAATCGTCGTCAGACGTTGACGTTGAAATGAATGAATGAAAATATGCAAGCAACGTGATTCTCAGTGACGCGACTGCGACTGCGACAGCGACGCCATATTGCTTTGGGATGGTGTGGGCTGGTGGTTTTTTCTCCGTCAGGGGGCGCCATTGGGAAACGTAACCGTTAGCAATGGCATTGCCAGTATGGTTACCGTAACCGTTACCGCTACCCTCTTTTTCTTCCAGCTAGCTCCATGGCCGTGAAGAGGAACGGGAACAATATTCGCATTTGCTCGTTGGTATTTTCTGTCGAGTTCAGCGTAAATTCATTCATTTCCACTTGAATTTACAATTATGCGAAACTGTTGTTGAATGGGTTTTGACTTGCTCGGAGGTTTTTGGATTGGGTTCTCACAGTTTGGGATTTGGAGATTGGGTGTTTTTGTTGTTTCGTAGCTGTTGCTGGTTACGTTTATGCATATTTCCTGTATTTGCCATTGGCAGCATCAGCACCAGCAACAACTTCACTATTTAGCTTTTAATTAACTATGGAGCCAGATGTGAGTAGCTGAGACTGTAACTGGAGACTGCCAGAGCTGGCCCACAAACTCGTAGCGCTCGTTGCCAATTGTCAACAGCAGCTGCTAAAAGTTTGCTGCCAAGCGTTGCCAAGGTGCGTGGCTGTGTATGGAATTCCGTATGATGCGATTTATTTACTGAACGCTTATGGAATGTAATTAACTTTATAAGATGTGCATGCAAAAGCTGTCAAGGGCGATTTTATGTTTGTGTATAAGCAACTACATTTATGCTGAGCACCATGGGAAGAACTCAGTTCGATCATGAATTACATTTTAGATTGTGATTTGTGCCGAGTGAGTGAGGCAAAGATACTTGTTTCAGCATACAGTACACTAGCTAAGTAGTCAATTGGTGTAAACTTAGAACAATTATCAGCTATTAAACATAGTGTTTCCAGCTAAATGAATGCATAGACTATATAATACTACAGCTGTTTTCCTTACAAAAAGCAGACTGTAATTATTTTATGGTAAAGACGAAGTAGACAATTCGCCAGTTTTCTGTCAATAAATTTTGAGTATAATTGTCGAAATTAGAGATTATCTATGCATGAGTTTTCATATTCGGAATTTGCAAACAAACATTCTCAAATAGACCGACAATTGCTGTACCCTAAGGTGGGCAATCGAGAATTGTCTAATGTGACCAAATACAGATTCTGTCGGCGCAGCCAGTAGAGCGGGATCCTTCAGTTGTTATTTAACATTTAAATATTGAACGTAATTAGCTATAAAGCAGCTATTGTAAGGAAGAGTTTAGGCATTTGAAATTTCCGACATAAGACAAAAATAAAAACTGGCAGACCGACAATTGGTATGCCCTTAAAATGTGGATATGGGTCTGTCATATATCTGCCCGCCCGAAAATCGGCACGCAGACGTCTGTCGAATCAAGTCTGCCATGTAGGTTTATCAATAATCTGGGGCAGAGAGTTTTCCAGTATAACCAACTACAGACCGATTTTTATCTGTTCAGCCTATCGGGCCGTGCTCTTTACTTAACAAGTTCTGTTGACTTCTTTAGAGGACTTTAGAGATATTTTGCGCAGAAGTTCTTAACATTGAAATATTTGCATAAATAAAATGCTCTAAGCCTCGTCTATAAAAAAACTTGCCAGCTTAAACAATCCAAACAGCAGTTCTTAAACCCATTCGTAACACAATTTGAATACATTTCTACGCCTTAAATATAATATTACTTTCATAGGAGCCTCCCGCGGCCACTACTAATCAACCATATGCTCTTATGCAATTTTTTTTTTTTTTTGTAATAAAAACTTTGTGCGCAAAAAAAGAGAGGGAAGAAGGAAACTTTTCGAATACCACTTCATGAGGGTGGCAAACTTTTTGTAGGGTTGCCTAACTGCAGGAGCCCTTCAGCTAGTTGCCAATGCAATTCAATGTCATATCCTTGAAAGCTAAAAAACAGCAGAGTACGGATATGAAAAAAAACGCCAAACTGAAAGTTTTGTTATTGAAAGTTCATCGATGAATACAGCAATACACAGTTGGCAAACGAAAACCCAGTAGCAAATCCACTTGCCGGAATACTCGAACGACTGCAGTTTGTGAGCCTGTTTCCTTGCGGCTGCTTACAGTCCATTTCCTTGTAGCCCGTTTCAACATTTTCAATTTCTTTTGTATATGCAATGGCCACATTGTAAGCAGTTGCTGCTGCTGCGAGCCTGCATCCTGAGCCAGCTCCACTAATTTCCTCGGCCAAGTCCAGACGTTGTCAGCGGCATATCCTGCCAGCCAGAGAGTCAGCCAGGCTGTCTGCTTAGCCCAATGTTTGTGTGTGGGCAATGCGTTTGGGAGGCGGGTCCCGTTGTTTGCATTTTTATTTGTATTTCATTTTCAATTGACTGACAGAGTCGTTGCCTGCCCGCCTACCTGGGGGCTACCTGGGCTAAAGTTCAGGTATGCGCTTTGTGTTCTCCAGTCCATTCATCAGAGTTATTTACTTTTTAACGAGTTGATTTCATTCAATTTGTTTGCCCAGGTTTCAGTGGCTATTACAGCCAAACAGCAAAAAAAAAAAATTAAAGAAAAAGGGAAAAGGGTTGCCACCACATTGCAATGCTCTTGAATATATTCCAGTCATACTTTGGCCACACTTTAAGCTGTTTCTTATACTTGCCCCATTAAAGCTCTTTCATATAAAGAACGGAACGGCAGCGCCGGCAACTTCTCTTATATTCTGGTTTTTGTTTTTCTATGGCCTTTTTATACCCTGCATTCAAATAACATTTAAGAAAGGGTATAAGTGTTTTAAAATATATTTATCAAGGTTAAAAGAAAAGATTTTTATTTAGCAACATGTTCCTCCGCCTGCCTGTCTATACGAACTCCCTAACTAAACAAGCCTAGGGTATACAATTTGGTATGCTCGTATGCTGGACTCAAATTAAATGTAATTCACATTTGGGTAAGCTTCATACGCTATTGAGAATTTTATATTAAGAAATATTATCTTTTTCTACGGAAACCTTAAAAATTGCTTATAAATAACATATGTTAGATGCGCTTAGAGCTACTTACAGGGTGTCTGCCAGTCCATCATATACATAACTGGTGCATTTTACTTGTTTATTTTTTACTACATTCAAGTCCTGCACGCTACCAAGTCAACTTCTTGTGCCTTTGGCGTTTTTTCGGTTTCAATAAATATTTTCGCAATGCAGAAATTAAAAATTCTTCGAAATAATAATAGAACATGACGAGAAAATGGCGAATTCAGTGCCCACAAGCTGCCAAACCAGCGTTGTCTATTTAACAGAAACTTTGTACGCCTTTGGGCTTCCGATAACAACAACAACAACAAGAACAAGAAGAACAACAATTTCATCGAAGTGTCCCGGACCCTGGCAATTCGATTGAAATTGTTGCCAGTGGCTATGATTTTATGAGCATTTCGTTTGTCTTGGCGGAAGCGTTCAAATATAATTAAATTGTTCGCATTTTACAGATGCTTGCAAAATATGATCAAAATTAACCAAGAAAATGTTTAAGCAATAAGTGGCGCCATCTGTTGCACATCAGCAGTGGCTAAACGAAATGAGAGCAAAAAGTTTGGCGAAAAAAATTGCAAAACATCAAAAGCGCAAATGAACTAAATTTGTAATATTAGAAAAGTATAAAGAAAGGAAAACTTGAAACTTTGGTAAAAAAAAGAAAAAAGAACACAATATTCTAGCTGCTGGCGCCATCTGTTGAGCATTTGCAAGAGCTCAATTGCGTAAGGGCAAGACACAAGATAATCTAGAAAACTTAGCTTTAGCTGGTTTATATAATGCATATATTAAAAAAGCATTGATTAAATTTGGCGTAATGTATTTGTTGCTGCTTTTAATTAGATATTAAGTTTGTTGTGGGTATTTTTTTGGCTCTTGTAACTAAATGTTGTGCGTTGTGCATGTTTTGCTTCTCCGTAACACACTCAGCAGCTGTCTACATTTTCATCACCTCGCTGACATGCTTTTCCAGGCAGCTCATGATCTGGAAGGCCGAATCACAGGGATTGGCGCCAGTGACACTGCCGCAGGCAGCCAGAGCCTTTTCCGCTTGCTCCTTAGCCGGCGCATCCTTAAAGTGCTCCAATATCTTATCATTTAGTAGCTGACCCTTGCTGTTCATGAAACCGAGCTTGACTAGGATACATTGGGCCGAGCACTTGACGTTATCCTTGACCTCCTCGGGCTTTATTTTGCCCGATTTCAGATCGGCAATATCCTGTTCGGCTACACCATTCTCCGACAAGCAGGTCTCCACAATTTGGCGTCCATTGTCGGCATCGTCAGCCTGAAAGGTTTGATCCCGAGATTTGGCTAGAATGGTGTGTTGAACTGTTGTGTTTTACTTACCATCAGGCAACCAGTTAGACAGCCCAGAAGCAGCGCCAAAGCAAATGCGGACTTCATTTTGCGCTAGTTTTGAATTAACTAATTCTGTGAACTCCAATTGCACTTTTATAGGTAATCGCAACTTTGTAACTGCATTTCGCATGACACTTTTTTTTTTTAATCATTATCTAAAGTTGGTTACGCTGAGTGCACATATGAATTTGTCACTGTCATGGCCATAGGCTAACGTGATGCCCTTGCACTTTGCATATGTATGTGTGTAATTAGCATTATAATCATTGGAAAAGCGCAACAGATTACAGCAGATGCTGTCATAAGTTAATGCAATTTGCCATTTTTTAATTTTATGTATTATTTTGTTAATTTACTAGCTGTTTCCGTAAAAGCTTGTCCAGTTAAGCGAATATTTTGTAGTAAAAATATATTTTTGGGACTATTAAAAATAATGTGTATTATTATATGAAAACGTATTTATTGAGAATAAGTATTAAGACTTTGGGAACTTTAGAAAGAATACCTTGAAGAGTATGGGAACTTTGCCTAGAGTCTGTCGAAACTATTTTCTTGACAGACACGAAGTTGGTCAAATTAAAAGGCAGACTTTCTGACGATTCCTAAACTAGACTCTATTTCTTTGAGACATAGTGTAGGGTATTTTTAATTCGCTGAGACCCCAATTAGGCAATTATAAAAGTGGCAAAATAACAGTAAATTTATAATCGGGTGAACCGAACCATAGAAATTATTATAGGGATTTTTTTATATAAAAAGTCGTAATTGTACATTGATACAAATTTCAATATTTATTATATTAATTTTATTTCTCTCTATACATAAATCTTTATGAAAATTGGCTGACAACGTTTGTATGCAATTTTTAGTGTATCATAATTTCGGCTTCATATCCATTTGCAAAGATCTTTAAAATTTATTTGATACGCATTTTGACATTTAGTTCTTGAAAGCAGGTCAGAGATTTTATTCTCGACACAAGACTAAGATGGGCAAACACATTGATTCCACCTTATGGTTCTTTACTCGTTGGACCTTAAACATATTTTGAAAAAGAAGTTGTGTTCACGATATTCCGCGCTATCTTAAACTGCATTTCTTATTAAAAATGTACTTGAGGTGTATCCGCGAGCGAGGCCGGGTAATATCCACTAGTATATATAAAAATATATATATATATCGTATATTTTATACTTGAAAAAATATAATTTAAATAGATTCTTCTTATAGATATAAATATATATTTATTATATATACTTCCCATTCAACATACTGCGCGTTTACTGTATATAATTTTTAATTATTGTATAGATTACACTAATTAATATTAGATTTGAATCTCGGATTTCTAGTTCATTTTTGCGCAACCATAAACAAATGAAACTGTTTGAATCAAATGCCCCGCAGCTGTCCATTGAAATGCAATAAAATTGTTGTGAGTTTTGTATTTTCTCACTAAGTATCTAGATTACGTGTTTATTTTTTTTGTAAACAATTTATAAACATGCCTGCACTTGGTCGCATATTAATTAAAAACGTTTTATTGCAATTGTTTATACATTGCAATTATCTAGTTTTTTTTTTTTTTGTGTAAATTCCGCTTCATTATTTTTACATTATTTAAATGTTAATTGCATTTCATGACTTTGTGTTAATTGGCTTTGCATATTATTTTCTTTTTATCATCATTTGATTAGTTATTTTTATTATTAATAATATATTTTTATGGTCGCGCATACATTTTCATTGAGTTAAACATGATTTCAGGCGCTAATTGAAATCCTTTTAGAGTAATTAGGAAAATTGTAATGCACAAGAGATGGAAATTTGCTGCCAGTTGCCAGCTGCTTTTACATCCATCCCCGCCCGCCTCGTGCGCAGACCCTCCCTTTGTGGTGTAGTTAGGAAAAACAAACTAATTTAGTAAATTACTATTTAGTGGGCCCTTTTATATGGCCGACAAGGACGATGTTGGCCACCTGGCCACAGCTTTGGTCACACACAAAGGTCATTTTCGGGCTTTGAAGTTACGCTTTGAAATTCGCCAAAGGACATTTAACAAATAGCATGCTTTGTGCTTGTGCGTGTGTGTGTGTTATATACACGCATACAAACACATTGCAATTGCTGTCGGAACATCAAAGCAATGCGAGTTTTCCAGTTGACTTCATCAGTAGATTGTGTGAAGTATGCCAAAAATGTGTTGTAAACTGTCCAACAACAATTTTTAGTATACCTTATGAAATGGCTAAAGGGGGTTTTATATAGTAGCTCAACCACAATCAGGCCTTGTAAGCCTAGCTTTCTGCCAGTGTGTACTCAGGAATCATAAAAGTTAGAGCTACCAAACTCTGTATATGGATTCTGACATATCCCATATAAATTAAATATAATGAAAATGTTAAATATATACTCTAAATTAACTGTTATTTGTTTTACAAAGCTATTGGGGTAATTAAATAGGCTGTACATACTTCTTATAGGTTTACAGGGTATCTTCAGTTCGAGTGCTTTTAACAAGAGCACAGCGTGTTTCTCTTTTTGCTATGCAGTAAATCTCGTAGTTGGCCTTTTAGGCAATGGAACTTAATGTAATACCATAAAATCGAATGCTTAACAAGCTCTTAAGCCAGCGGCACGTGCTGAATCGGCCCTGGACTTTAGTGCGAACGCGATTTCCGCACGAATCAAATATACTTGGCGAGTAAAATAATATTGGCCAAGCTTTTAAAATACATTTTACATGCACTTCAGTTTAATTGACGCGTGGCCTCGTGTTCCACTGTTATATTGAAAGGCTGGCGAAATTTGAGATAACGAACTTTTCAGAGTGAGCCATTCAATTAGTTTAACACCCCCAAGGTATTAATATTGGGTGTGGGTGTGGCAAGGGGGCGAGGAGGGCCGAGGCACAACAATTGCTTCTCAGCTTACATCAAAAAGGGGCTCGAGATACTTGAAAAGATACAGTGGCAAGTCAATGAAACTGGAGATGCATTTTCAAAGGGGATGCTCAAAAATGGCTGAAAGCAAAATTTGGACGCACATGAAAATAGATATGTGAAAACAATATAATTACCAATTTAGCTCAGAAATTTGTGCGAAATATGCATATAATTATAATCAAGCAAATTGACAACCAATATATATGAATATATTTTCGGTAGAGAAAAACATTAAAAATAATAACGATTTTTTTTAATTTCCTTAAATGATCGCCAAGCTATAAATTAAAAGGGGCACATATGCTGTTCTACTATATTGCAAAAAAATAGGGAAGATACAAAACACAAGTCTAGTCTGGAGTGCCCGACTAGCGGATACCCTGAACCTTCTTTTACCAACACCAAGTACAGCTCGCCCTACGCGTCCCTCTGCCTGAGCATCAATAAAATGAAATCAATTAATGAAAAAAAAAAAAACAAAATTAAGTTCTCTCCGTCCCTCTCCATAAAATAGAAAATACCTGACCTGCATATACTATTCAAAAAGCTAAATGTCAAATTTGGTGACTCCAGCTCTTAAAACCTAAGAGATTTCCCAAAAACTGGAGATCTATATAAATGTTTATCGATTGCTAGGAAACGCGCGAAGCTATCGATTATTGGAAACCAACTCTCACTAGGGCGGGCACTAGGAGTACCTACATTCAAATCTCTAGCATTAATAGGTACTGGGATCGACACGTACATACATACGACAGACGGACAAGCAGACTGACGGGCATGGCTAGATCGACTCGGTTATTAATGGAACAAGAATATATATGCTTTATAGGCTCGAAGATGCTTGCTTCTCCCTGTTACATACATTCGCACAAAACACTATACACTCTTACCCAATTTTAAATGGGTCCGCGGTAAAAAATAACCTTTGCATTTTTAGAAGCATGTCTGAATTGCGTCTTAAAAAGAAAGGAAACATGGAGGAAGCATGATTGTCTTTTTTATTTAGCCGCATATTTACCATGTTTTGTATATAAAAACAAGAAACTTTGACCTATTTTAATTTATTTTTTATAGGAATATAAAATACATTTATTTCTATATCTTATATGTCGCTTGGATATTAAGTTGTTGTTCTTGCTGTTAGACTAAAGAAATTTGCACAATTCACAAATCCCCTATTTGCCTCTCTCCCTCTTTCAGCCTCTGAAAAGCCTGGCACATATTACGAGCGACTAAAAAGAACATAAATACAAAATGCAGCCAGGCATAAGAAGCTACCACAGACCATTGACAACTACGTGAATACCTATGCTAACATCTACCCTAGCCTTATTTTTCCTACCCATACATATACTTGCACCCGCCCCCTCCCCGCCGCATTGCCCTTCAGGCCCTTTAAAATAGCAAACTAGACCGGGCATTGGCTCCACACTGGCTACGTAATATGTCCTGGGGCTTAGTTCGCATGTGTTGCTGTTGCTGTTGTTGCAGAACGCCTCGTTGAGGCTATTGTCTGACTGAGGGCTTTACAACTCATAAACAGCAGCCTCTCAGCCCCGACTAGTAATAACAGTTTAAGCTCGAGGCACTGCCCGAAAATTGTCCACATCTCGTTGTTTAATTTTTTTGTTAGCTCGCAGTGTTTTCTTTTTTTGTAGATACTCCAACAGGGGGTCGTTCAACTTATGCTTCAAGTATGAGCATGAGAAGGTTGTTTGGAAATCTTAGGCTTCAATTGTGATCCTCAGAAAAGAAGAAAGGTGATATTTTAAGCAAAACTTCCTTTTGGTTCGAGTGTATGCCTTAAGACGGGGTTTTGCAAAATTCTACCTAAAAGTGGAGGAGCTTGGGGTTAAACATTGTATAAAAAACATCAAGAGCAACTCAATGTGCTCTACGAACGGTAAGGCATGCAACTGCTTGGCTTTGTTGATTGAGCGAGAAGCTAGTACTTTGCCGGTTCAAATCAAGCAACTTGCGAAAATGTTTAAGTGTTTATTTAATTTCATATTAAGAACACAAAAATATATATTAACAAAATAAACAAACAATTGAAAAGAGGGTTGGGAATTTATGCTTGAAAATTTGTTCTTACCATTTTCAGATAATTGTCAACA